CAGTACTCATCTATTTTCCTGAAATGGGCAGATTAGAGCATGTAGTGACTCTAAAAGTTTTATTGACGTAATGGGTTGTTGTGAGACCATAAAATTCTCGGTAATAATGCATTCATATGCGTGTGGTATAGTTTGGGGAAAAATGAGGGCTGATGAGCCATGTTTTCAAATTTGAAAGGATTACGGAGAGATGCGTATCCCAATCAGGATTACTGGGAGGCGAGAACAGTATACTTGCCGGGTGTTCAAAATTTCATTAGTGTTATCTAATCGATCTTATGTACGTGAAAATGATGTTGATCTACTGTCGCGGGAACTCCTCGAGGGGATGGGAACTGTGCGATTAATACTAGGTGTAGCATGTATTTAACATGGTATCTTACGAGGACATAGTACATAATCTTGTTAGGATTAGACTTGTACCTTCGTGGTAGGTAATGTTGCCAAATTGGCGTATGTATTGGTTGGTTGTTTCGATTAAGGGAGTGTTGATCCCTATAGGAAGGTATGGTTATTGGCATCGGGGAGTGATGTGTTGTAAGCAGCTGGTGCTATATCTCGGGTCATAGTGTATAGGTGTTTCCTAAGTTTTCGAGTTCCTTTATTAGGATCAAATGTGGTAGGTTGTACCGTAACACTGGTTAGGTCGGAAATGCTATCGTAAGGGTTGATCGGGTGTAAAGCCCGTGGTTAGGGTTATGCTTGTGCTTAATTGATAACATGCTTATGTGACTATGTGGGTATGGAATGTAGTTTCTAGGATGTTGATTGGATCCTTGGGTTTCTGGGAGTCTTGTTGGAAAGGCACTTGATCAATGCTGTTTCTAACTGGAACTCTAGTAACGCCTCGGGACTGTCATTATCTGGAAATGAAATTCGTAATTGCTTATGTGATTATGTGCTTACGTGGAGTGAATTACAGTTGTCCATGTATTAGGACGTGAGTGTTTAATTTCGGCACATTTATGAATGTGCTAACGTTCTTCGTTACCTTTATTAGGATGTCAGGACGAGGACGTGGTA